CTAAGTAGTTTCAGATCCATTTAATGCACTATAGAGGCTGCAGCTGGGGAATGTCAAATTGTAATCCCTCTCTTCTTTTACTGCAGAGATAATGCAACCACCGAAAGCGGGAAGAAGAGGTCTAATTGTGGCTCCTCTCTTTGACTGCTGGTTTCTTGTACCATCTGATGGGAGGTGCAATCCACCTACCTCCAGGAGGACACAAGTTGCTGGCTTTTGATCAAATTAGATGTTATTGATAGATATCTTGAATTCAAGATGGCAAAAGCAAAAGAAAATGGATGTATGATGTGAATCTTCATTTCCTCCTGTGGCTACTATGAGAGAATTGCAGGGCAATGTGCAACAAAATCAGAAAGAAAATGTGTAAAGGCATTCAAATTAATATTTTTTTTTTAAAAAAAATCTGATTAAAGGCTTGCTTACTGAAATGTTGACAACTCTTTGAAAACATGTTAGCGTCTTAAACAGATAGCCATTCACATTAACACTTCAACTGTTACATAAGAATGAACTTAGCTGAGTATTTTTCTACAGCAAATGTATGGAAGAAGCTGAAAGTGGTCATGATGCACAGCCTTCTGCTTAACTGCAGATGTTTTTATGACTGTCACACATGTGCAGTTTTCTGAGGCTTCCTTTCCCACTATAAGTCTTCATCTTGGGCACTGCAGAACACGGCAGGTGAGAGAAGAAAAGTCCAAAAAGCAACTTGGCTGAATGTTGAAGCTGCAAGATTGGTAATTAACTGTAAACCTGAAAATTCATTAGTGTATCAGGTTTCCTTTCATGGGATGTGGTATCAATTGTTTTTCTTAATATCTATTGACAAAAGAGCTGGCTGGATACTTCAATTAGTTAGGCATTTGGCTGCAGAGCCAGAAGTTCAATTCCTCACTGTGCCTCCCAGACGAGCCAGCCTATGTGGCCTTGGGCAAGTAACACAGAGCACACACACCCCTCAAAAAAAGGGAATGGTAAACCACTCAGAGCACCACCACTCCCCAAAAAGGGAATGGTACAGCACTTCCGAATACCCTATACCTAGAAAACCCTCGAAAAGGTCATCACGTTAGAATTGACTAGATAGCATGCAATTATTAGTCAGTACCTCATTGGACAATATCCTATTGTGTAACTATGTTCGCACAACTTGAGGTTACATCTGTGGTAGTTACAATAGCACAAAGACAGTAGTGTGATCTCCAAAGCATTTCTGCCTGTGCATTGCTGAGGACATGTGACCAGTTAGTTGCAAAACTGAATTATGCAATTCTTTGTTGTCAGTCATAATGCCTGGTTCTTTTATGCCAGTGTAACTTTGCATTATGCCAATATGAACAGGATTTAGCCCAAAGAATTCTCCATTGCTTTTTCTTGAAGTCTATGTTTGTTTTGGTTGGGAGTAGCAACACCAGGGGAAAAAAGAAAAGAAAATCTAGGCATTATATTCTTTCAAACTGTATGAGCACTACATTCTTACTGTATGTATCTTTGCAAAAACAATAGAATACTGCCCTCAAATTCCTCTTCCAAATCATTAGTTTTACTCTTTATGCTACATGTTCACTTGCATTTATTAATTTTAACTCATGATACGAGTTATCCCTCCCTTCCCATCCTCTCATACATTTTTGTTCCCACTGTTGGAATTTAGATAGTAAGCTCTTTTTGGATCTATTTTTTCCCACAGGGAGCCATATATCATACACATAATGCTACGAGGTTTATTGCTTTTATTTAATGTTATGGAGATGGCTGTAGAGAAGATCAAGTGGACTTCTAGTCATGTACCATAGTTTCCCTCGATTTTTCCACAATTATAACCCTGTCGTTGGAAAAGGGTTGACTGACCCTCTGGAAGATGGAACCTGGGAATGAGTGGGAGCTAGACAGGGTAAGCTTCAACACCATTGCTTTCTACAAACCAAAATGCTTTTTTGACTGTAAAGAGGGGGACAGTGATGGCAAAGCTCCTGTTTGCAGGCCACCCTCTTTTCCCAGAATCGGCTGGATTCCAAACATCCAGCTCCCCAGCAGACATGTGGAAAAAATTGTTAAGACTCCAGCTCCCCAGAGTGACCAGAAAGCCTTGGAATGGAAGGAAGCCTGGGAAGAGACCAATAGTCCCAGAAGTGGAAGGAGGTATTATGGGAAAGAGAAGAGGTAAAAGAGGGCTCAAAGGTGGGAAAGGAAGAGACTGAGAGGGGGCCAGAAGAAGGGGCAGAGGAGGACTGGCAGGATGTGATAAAATATCCAGGGGAAGAATCTGGCCTGGGGAAAATAGAGAAATCTCCCCAGAGGGATTAAGAGTATGTGACCAAGGAGGACCATTGGACCAGGGTGCTGGTCCAGCTGAAAGGTGCCCAGAGAGGAGGCTGAAAGACAGAGAAGTCCCAATGCTCCCTTGAAGCCCACTTATTGGGGCAAATGAGACAAGAGAGAGACAGCTGGACTCAAGAATCATTCATCGTGGATTCTCTCCCTCTCACTGAAAGACCCTGGGGAAACACTCAAGAAAGGGCTTGTCAGATCCTTCCATTGAGAAATACAAGGAAAGGAATAAGGGAGAACACACTGACTGGCTTACAAGCCACATTGTTCTGCCATCCTGCACTTAGTAAGAACTCAACCAAACTCACCAGCGGAACTGGGGACATCTGGTCCACTGGTTTCCCAAGAGGCAGAGGAGAAAATGGATTGGGAAGGCAGATGGGACAGTTAAGCTGAGATGGCTAAATACCAGTTCATAAACATTAAAAGTTGTTGTTGACAAGTTCTTTTCAAAGTTAATAAATTCTGTTGGTTTGGACATTTGTCTTCCTGTATGGAACAATGGATGGAGGAAAGAGACCACAGCGGCCCTAGAGGGGCTGGGTTCACACGGCTTCCAGTTAGTATGGGAGTTCTTATTTACACTCTTCAACACACACACAATATTATAGCACTCTAGCTACCCTTCGCTGCCCAATTCTTTTGTGTAGAGATGGGGTATTCGTATTTGTATATGAATACCCCTGCACAGATAGATAACGAGGGTCCAGCCCCCTGGGACTGGACTGTCCACTCACCTTCTGCTGTTGCTCTGGGCTCCGCGCTCTCTTCCTATCGATCCGGAGCTTGCGGTCTGCAAGCCACTATTCGACCTTGCAGCGAGGCTCGTCCTCCCACCTCGTGCCAGGAGTGGCTCGCAGACTGCGAACTACGGATCAATACGAAGGCAGCACAGAGCCTGCGGCAACAGCGGAAGGTGAGTGAATGGTCCGGACTCAGGGGGCTGGACCTTGTTACATCCACCTGTGCGGGTGGTATTCATATACTGTATTCATACGAATACCCCCATAAAGCCAATTTTTGTCACAGATATCAAGTGCCATTTGAAGAATTGTATTTCAGTGGGGAATTGATCACATATCAATCAGCATCTGTTCCAGTTCTGCTACAAATGACAATGCAATTCTCGACATGTCTACTCAGAAGTAAGTCCCTTTGATGTAAAGAGATCTTTTACAGACTAGTCTATCTGTTGTCACTATGTGCTGTCAAGTCACTCCCCTTCTTACAGAGATCCTAACAGGCCTTTCAAGGTTAAGGGAGGTGTTCAAGGTGAAGATTACCTTGCCTCCTCAATTGAATTTTTGAAACTCAATGGGATTTGATCCTAGGTCTCCTGAATCCAAGTCCTAATCGTCTATCTACCACACAAGGTTGGCTTTCCTATCTGGCTTTCAAATAATCATATAAGGACAAGAAAATCTATTTTTTCAAAAGGATAGCCCTTCTAATCTGAGTGCATGAGAAAAAACAAAAGGAGGATGAAGGGTTGCCTAGCACCTTCTTTCTACTAACATTTATTTTAGAATTAGCTTTTGAGGATTGCTTTTCATTGTGCTTCTCAGAATCCAACTGGCATCCTCATCCCATCATAGTTTATAAGGCCATTTTTTCTTCCAGCATGGAAGCAAAATGATGCTCAAGGTGTTGCAACAAAGACTTTATCATACATGGAAAAAATACATGCCCTGCATTCAAGATGGATTTCAAAAAGGAAGAGACAATATGATTCATATTGTAAATACATATTGGCTACTGGAGTGTACTAAAGATTTTCAGAAGATCAGTTTGTGCTTTATAAACCACAGCAAGCCCCTTGAATGTGTGGAAAGCTATGCATAATTAGCAAACAAAATAGGCTAATCAAATTAGTCATGTTAATTTCTAAATACCTGGAGAATGTGTCTCTTACAGGCCAGGAAAACAAAGCCAAACAAGATTTTTCAACAAAGAGCACTGTACAGTTCTGGTGTCGATGATAATTTTACAGGTCAATAAGAGCAATCTGAATCAGGCTCCAAAACTGGCAACCAAGTTAGATATAAAATATCTTCATATGTTCATGATGACTCTTATCCATAAGCAGAGATTCCAATACACCTTCAAGAGCATGCCATACAAGATACATGACATCACTTTAATCAGGAAGTCACCAAAGTATGAAAGACAGGTAGCTACTGAAGACAACCTCTAGTTTCTCCAAGCTGACTATCAAACCAATTTGAAAAGAAAAGGAGCAAAGTAAGTTGTCGTTTTCAAGTTGCTTGACTGTTAAGGTGAACTGCAGCTCTTTCAAACAAGTAGCTGAAACCAAGGCGGCTTCCTTCAATATACATTTCCTTCCTTTTTACACAATTCTTTGTCACTTACTACAAATTATAAAATAGTGTAAAGGATAATATATATAAAAAGAGAGAACACTAGGTTTTGGAATGTGATATCCCATGTGTTTAACTCAACTCAGCACAGATATAACATGGTGGAAAGAAGATACTTAAGGCTGGGGAACAAGGTGTGTATCACTCTATCATATAAAAATATAAACAGTTTCTCATTAGTTCCTGAGTAAATAAGCTGGCAACATGCTCAGTGAAATATATTATGATCACACCTGTTTTAACAACAGCAAAGTTAATGTCTGAAAAATAATAAAAGTCCACAAAATATTTCTGTATAAGTAACAACTTTATTGTAACTTGATGTCCTGAAATGCAAAAATATTTTCAGCAACAAGGTACAAAAAGTATTTCACTGTCAACATCAGGCGGATATAAAAGGCTGGATGGTTTGATGCAAGTGTTTTTTCATGACAGGTTAATGTGAATAATTTCCAACTAAGATCAGGTTTATGTTCTTTCAATGTTTAAATTCTAAAACAGGACTCAAAAAATAAACCTTCATTCTGACATATCAAAATCCAGAATTAACTAGATCACAGAATATGAATAACGCAAACCACAGCAAACACTGACAGAAACCATGAGGGCCCATTTCAGTGAAAGTCCATTTGCTGCAAGCAGAAAGCAAGTAAATCAATGCAGTTGTAAAACGAAACAACCAATAGCTCATAGGAGGTCTTAAGAAAATCCAGTAAACTTGACCAATAAAACTAAAAATGGGGGGTGTATCAATTGTTCTAAGTATAACCGAAACAAAAAAATCTTCAAATGGTTTTCCTCATATTTTCTATAGGACTTTAATTTATTAGCACAGTTAGTCTTGAGCTCCAAGAAATTTTCTCTTCATAAGGAGACCAACATGCAGACTATGCCTTGCATTCTCTTTGAATGCAGAAATTCATGATACTGTCATCATTCTACATATGGGTGGGAAGCAACCAAACACCTTAGTGTTAATAACTCTGTTTTAGGATTTGGAGTTTTGCATCTCTAGCTTTTGAAGACAGACCTATCCTTGTTCTGCATTCACATTGTGTGTGTATGTGTGTATGAAAGAGACACTGTGTGTGTTAAATGTGTTTGTGTGTAACCTTAACCCTACAAGCACACACACACATGTGCACGCACGTGCACACACACAAGTCCTTCTCAGTTCTAGTTTCCCAAAACTATCCATCCTATTATTTGCATTTCAAAAAGGCACTAAGCACATTTATACCTACTTCAGCATGCAGTAAATGGACTGTCGAGCTTTGGATGGGACATTGAAGTTTCCTTCATTGGAAAACACTGCCACACAGGTTATGTAAGTGAAATCTCTGCCACTTTTAAAAGCATTCTGAGTCCTATTTTTCAGAAAATAAATCTTTGTTAAAAACCACACATCATTTACACAACACATGCAGAATGTTCCCTTCAGGGGAAAAGTTTGATGGCAATGGCTGATGAGTATTTAAGGGGCAGAACTGGCAAGCCCAATATGGCACTTTGATAATTGTGCTGAAAATCCTGTTAAGTGGGCTGTCGCCTACCCTCAGAAAAATGTCTAGTTTTCAGCCAGAAAATACATTTATAAATAGATTTTTTTCTCTGCAATACTTTGAAATTTACAATCTACTCTTATGGAAACACAGAAAACACAAGGAAGCTGCAGTTAATTGGAGGAAGTTCTTGCCAGCTTTTTCGGAAGAGTGAAAATAACACATGTAATTCGCTAAGGGGAAAAGGTGGATTGGTATACTCACTGAACACATCGTTTCTTTTATTTTAGTCTCTCATATAGCCAACAGATAATATAGATCAATTATCATGACTGGCTATTAATGTTAGACATGGTACGCATCTTACTAATTTTTACACGTGGGAGTGCAACACAGTGTTTGGTATTTTTGGTACGAAGTGTGCTATTAAGCCTCTTTAAAAACTTTATAAAGAAAATGCTTAAGGATGTTCCATCTGATTGCTGTGTCTAATCATACCAGAAGAAGCTGAAAAGGACAATTACAGTATTAAATATTCAAGTCACTTTGTATATTATAGCTGAAATTTCAAGATGCAAGGTATATTATGATTATTTATTATACTAAACTAGGAGTTTCTCTGCTATGGAGTGGCACACATTCTTATATCTCATCTGGTAAGAATACTAAAAGAGTAATTTAGATAAAGAGAAACTTCCAATAAATGTTAAAAACTACAATTTATCTCTGGATGGAACATCTCTCTCGCACTTCGGTTCACTGAATAATGTTTAGGCCCATTGAAACCATAAGGAGTAGAACAAAAATGGCCCATTTTACTGTGCCTCAAAGATGCCAATGCAAATTTCACATTGACTTAACCCAAAGAAAGAGTTCAATCAGAATATGTATTTCTAGTTTTAGTACTGTGTTGGCACAGGACTTCTCTTATGTCCAATTACTTTTCAAGAATTTTTTACCCAAGTTAATAGTTAAGAAGAAACAAGCTCCGACAATTTCAATGTTATTGGTGCTTCCATGCTGAAAACAGAAAGATGACACCGTTTGAAAAGAGAAGGATTAAGCATGGGAATCAGAAGGGCCAGCTAAAATCTTAATTGCAAAATTCAGAGGACTTCCCTTTTCTGATAGATAAATTCAATTTCCCCCATGCCAGGAGATATAGCACACCATTTTAAAAGTAAAATTCAATGGAGTAAGTCAAGAGATGTTTACAATGTGCACTGCTGCAGACAAATCCTTCCAATTGTAAACAACACTAGCAAATACACTGGAAGTGGTGGCATTAAAGCTAAGGTTTGTATAAGATGAAACTGGCCCATCACAAGCAGTTTACAGGTTGTTATATCTTTTTCACATTATGCAGAATTTCAATACCATCCACAATGCTAGAACAATAACAAATGATAAAAACAGTAAGTCAGTGCTTACAAATACTGACATTTCATTTCAGACTTCTATTCTTCCAGCTAAGTGTGTGACTGTGCAACTTCCACTAATGTGAACAGGCTTGTGCGTACACACACAAAGGGAACATAGCCAAGCCTGTCCAAAGTGTGAAAATAGAATGGATTCTAGCATGAACACTTGAGATATTCACTTAGAATCAACATCTCTAAAGTCATGCTCTCCTTGTAACAAAACTAAATCCCATGTGGCTGTGGGCATCTTAATGTATTTCAAAAGTTAGGCCACAATTACTGTACCATATTTATCAAAACCAAAATATATATGTACCACACAACATATAAAAGTTACACATTAAAAGTGCATACTGAGAATCCGTAATTTTGGCCCATTTCTGAAATTTACATTTGGTCATTCTTACGCATCCTTGACTTCCAAGTATTTCCTCCATTTGCGAAACAACTGCTTCTTCCTAGCATGTATCATTTATTCTCTCTCCATAGTCCTACCATCTTCCACTCTGGTTCAGTACAATGTAAAATAGGAACAGATCCTAAAGTAACAGAGGCCAAAAGGGTTATGATGTGTTTTTTTTAATGTTTGATGGACACACGCACACACACACACTCTCTCACACACAGAGTAGGTGGCATTTGCAAAATTACCATAAAACACATTTCTGGGCCAAGACATTGCATATTTCCCTCACTTACCTGAACCAATGAAAAATAAATTATATTCAGAGTAGTATATTGCCACAGCATGCCTGACAGCATCCTCTGAAGGCAGGCAGATGCACTCTAAATACAGTACTTGGACTGGAGTGCTGGCTGCCCTCCCCTTCAACTGCTTTTAAGGAGGCTAGATGAAACCGTCCAGTTACCACAAGACCAAATGATAATCTTCATTTTGAGATTTAAATTGGGAGTAAAAAAAGAAAAAGAAAGGAAGAAAGAAAGAAAGAAAATGAAAGAAGATCCCTTTCAAGAATGGACATTGATCATTATTACTGCATTATGAAGCTAGTGCAATCCTACACTGCCGAGTCAAAAAGACGAGGCACGATGAGAGAAAAAACAAAAGCAAGAAAATCACAAATGAACTAGGAGCAGTTGTCATTAAGGCCTTTCAGTGAACTGGAGAGTTATCAGTCTAATTTAAAGCTGATTAATAAACCATATATCATCCGTTCTTAAAAGCTTCCGGGTTCTGTTCTGTGGACAGGGTAGCAAATTCTGGCAGATGGGTTTGTAAAAAGAAATCCCTCTGGATACGGACAGGGAGTCACTCATTCTCTCAAGTTCATGGAAGAAGATTTCAAGACTGTTTTAGCCGTTTGCGTGGAATGCCAAACTGTGGACACTGTGCAGAGGCGAGGGCTCGAAAGGCTTCCGCTACTAAGTGGGGATGGGAGTGGATCATCGACTTCCAGCCGGCTGTTTCCATTATGTCTGTTGCTTGGCTGTAAAAGACAACATATTTAGAAGGACCACTTCCCAGTTTAAGAGACCAGCAGCACAACCATGTGCACAAGTATCCAGAGGTCAGTCTTACTAAGTTCAGTTTACTGCTAGAATAAAATCTAAACCATGGAGGATAATGTCAGATAGCTCACACTGTCTGTGGCTGCAACTCTGTTAACGTTTGCCTGAGAATAAGGTCCACTGAACTCAGTAAGACTTATTTGCGTTAAACATGCTCTGGATAGCATCACTAACTATAAATTTCCATGCATTTCACAGAGACAGCTAGTTGCAAAGGACAATCCAACTGATACTGCCCCTTAGATACAGACAGCGTGCTTTTTCTGTTTTAAGCCTGTAATCACCAAAACAAAGAGAAACCTCCACACAGCCACCTTGATGTGGTCTCCTTGGTGTGACAAGATTACATTTGATTATGATGGCAGAAGCCACCTTTCAAACCTTGGACATCTGGGATGCTTATTTAAGGATCCAGCAAATGCCCTCTGTGGGTCTTGATGGGTATTACATGGATATTATGTCTGATCTCACTTAAGACATTGGCCCAGATCTGGCTCTGCAGTTATGCCAGTACAAAGGAAATAGTATAATTTGCAGCACCATTAATCAGTCACAGATTGGTTTCCTCACCGTGCTCCAGTTAGTGTCTTGGGGCATGACTGAGAATCCAAGCTGGGACTTGCTAATTAGTCATTTAACACTGCATGTTGCACCATTTCTGTTCTGCTTGCATTATGCATGAGTTAGGGTTTTGGCCACTGCATTTGTTTAGAGTGAAAACAAGATATTCCCTACAAATGGCAGTTCTGTATCTATATGGAAATTATTTTGCCTCAACTGATCCTTAATGTTATAAAAATAGGAAAAGGGAAAAATCAGTAACTATAGTAGCTTTCGCTTTCCCTTGCAGAAGAAAATGGCAAACCTATCCGTATGTGAATAGATAAAGTACTGTTCTGTTTACTGGTATGTGTCAGTTTTAACTGCTCTGTTAAAACTTAGAGAGCACATATAAACACCGCAATAAGCCATTAAATGTATTAACCATCCATTCCTGCTGTGGTTTATTTTCCACATTTCTGGTTTCTTTCTTTCCCACTCACTTTTGTCAGATCTTATTTCAGGATGAAGAGTAAGGGAAAAAGACAAGGTAGAAGCCACAACATGACAACCCACAACTGTGTAATCCAACAACAAACCACAAGTGCAAATTGTGGTCTGTTGCTGATTAACAATCCATGACCTTTTGTGAGGAGAACATTGTTAGCATCAAACAACGGAACCTCTGATTGCCTGTAGAGAACTCTGAGGTGCAAATTGTATACATACTTGCTGTTCCAGTTTTTCCCATCTTTACAACCCAGTTGCCTAAGAACACTGCATCTGTGGCATGAGAAAGGTAACCAAATATTAATATTGTATATACTTCATTTTAAAGGATGAGGAAATTGGTCAAAGAAAACAAACTACTTGCCTGTTAATAAAGTCTATTGCTTGTGCTTTCAATTGTTCTGCACTGTGCAAATCTGCAAGAATCAAAATGTCTGCAACATTTTCTACGGAGAGGTTACTACACAGAGCTTCTTCACACATGATCTTCAGCCTTTCCAGTGCATACTAGTAAGAAAGAAAAAGTCCACTGTTTTCACTTATTCCTACTGCAATCTAAAAAGCTTACTAGAAATGAATAATGAAGTTTTTTTCTTTTTAAAAGGAATATGCTCACTATCATTCATGCTCACATTATAGTAACATTTGAGGGAGGAATAAACCCATGCCTCACAGTGGCCCACATTTAGTGAAGGAGACTCTATGTGCTTAAGGGTATTCCAGTTCTTGCCTCAAGCTTTACACAACAAACATGAAAAGTGCATTTAAACATCTGAACCACATCTTGTGCCTTTGCCATTAACACTAAAATTGCAAAATCTACCCATTATATATTTTTCTTCCATGTACACATTAAAAATAAAACCACAGGGAACTGTTTATAAAATTTTCCATGGATCACTACAAACCTTGCTCATAAGCTGGAGCTGGTGATTTCTAGAGGTCTTCCATTTAGGGAAGCACTTCTACAATAAAACTGGGCACACAGAAACTGTTCCTCATCTGGGACCCAATTACTGCTTCCAGGAACAATTGTGAGCACCCAAACAAGCAGCACAGTTCCAGGACACCTCATTTTAACACAGAACATCCCTATAAAGGCAAACACGACACTTTTCCTTGGTGCCCCCACTGTGCAAAATTTCACCAGCTGAACTGCAATTGCAATCGCAACAAACACCCTTGAGGAGCCCTGGCAAGGCAGTGCTGGATGAGACTCCATGGCACAAATACTTTCAGCACAATGCTTAGCCCTTATCTTTTTCATACCCATTTCTAGTGCTTTTCTATGACACAGAAACTCAAATATAAACGTTTTTGCACCTCTGTCACAGTAACCATTAAGACCCTTGTATGGTCAACTACTTACTTTGTCTGCTGCTGCCAACAAGCTGTCAGCCATTTTGTCAAGATTTGGAGCTTTTCCTGTATAAATGAACCTCATCATCTCTTTAAAAACTTCAGGGTCTACATCATTTATTTCTACGCGATTCTGTTACACAGAACAGGGGAAAAAACCTTTCAAGTTTCTGGATTAAAATATTATGATTCACCTAGAAACACATTACTTCTAATATTCGTCAAAATTTCAATAGTAATGTCCTGATATAATGTAACTACAAAACAACTTTTGCTATAGTAATTTAGAGGTATGAAACTAAACCATGGTTAGTTTGTTCAAAATGTATTTGAACACAAGGTAAGAGGAAGCCACAATTCTGATTACATAATACCCAACTGTTCTATTTCGTAAATCCCTACACACAATTTATACAGGCTTCCAGGCCCTGTTAAATAATAAAGACTGTGCTAACTTGGGATGGATGTCATTAAAGGTGAAATTCTAACAGCACATAATGCTAACAGGGTTATCACTTGTGGTAGTTATTTGGCAGTAAAAAATCCTCCTTCGGAGGAAGAACTGGAAGTCTTTTATTTCTGAAATACTGCAGTGGCTGATGATATCAACAGTGTTATCCCACTTAAATTACCCTGCTGAATTCCAGCCTATGTATACTTACCTGGGAGTAAGCTCTGCTGAACATAATGAGTTAGTTTTGAGCAAACATGCTTAGTAAGAAAGATATGGCTAGTCTATCTAAATGTAAGCATTACATAAATTGTTTCTGTTTCTACACACCCCAGGAGGAGAATTCGAGTTCAAGTCTGAGTATAATACCAACTTTTATTTAAACTTAGAATGTACTTTTCATGACTAAACCGCTGAAAAATCTGTTCTGTGCCCCTGATTCTGTATATGATCACAGGACGTTACTTTCCATGAAAACAGACACCTCCTTGCTGTAACCAGAAAAAAAATATATTCATGGTATCTCCACACTAGCAAAGCAGGATCCAAACTCTATGAAGCCTCCCATTCCAGAAAATGGCAAATCATACCTTCCAGCAACATGCCATTTAAATGTAATCTTTTGTCTACTTTAGGTCAGAAACAGCCTGTCTTAGAAATGGAAAGCAGCCAGCAAGTAAAAACGTTCCTAGTCCCTCAGATGTTGTCCACTTTTGGTCTTTTTCAAGGAAAGACACAATAACCACTCTTCAATCATAGCTCTTATGCAAATGATCAATAAAAAGAGACAATTTAATCCAAAAATGGGATGCTACTGCTGAAAATTGTTCAGACTTCATCCAGTTTCATGGAGTCATAGAGTAACTGAGTTGGAAGGGGGCTATGAGGCCATCGAGTTCAAACCCCTGCTCAATGTAGGAATCCAGATCAAAGCAGATCTGACAAACGTTTAATTTTCTCTTGAATGCCACCATCACTGGAGCACTCACCACTTCCTGAGGTAATTGGTTTCATTGTCATATTGCTCTGACAGTTAAAGAGATTTTTCCTGATATTACTCCTAGATCTGGCTTCTGTAACTTGAGCCCACAATTTCCTGCACTCTAAGATGACTGAGAACAGATACTTCCCCTCCTTTGTATGACTACCTTTCAAGTATGTGAAAAGTGCTATCCTATCTCCCCTCATTCTTCTTTTCTCAAGACTGAACATGCCCACTTCTTTCCATCTTTCCTCACAGGGCTTGGTTTCCAGTCCCCTGATCATCACTGTTGTCCTTCTCTGAACATGCTCCAATTTGTTGGCATCCTTCTTAAAGTGTGTTGTCGAGAACTGGACATAGTTCTCTAGGTGAGGCCTAACTAGTCCCAAACAGATGGGCACTAGTACCTTACAAGATCTGGAGACTATACTTCTATTAATGCAGCCTAATGTATGCTTAATCAATTAGATCTGCATATCTCTACATATGAATAAACATAATTCTGAAAAGTAGCCTACACTTTCCCTAGGCTAAATCCAATTATTAGTACCAACTACAATTGATCCATTGAATCAATGAAACTTACATAAATGTGAACATTAACACTTACATAAATGTGGACATTAACATTCATGTAATGGGTCTGCTCTAGCTGGAACTAACAATTGGATTTAGTCCCATATCTTCATGAATGCCACCGTTTCAAAAGATTTTTTTCACTTGAGAAGGGTAGGAAAACATTATGATACTTACTGCACATGAGCTGGTATGTGCCACATACATATCTTCATATAAAGGCTATTGGAGCACAAAGACTAAAAAGGTCTGTTCTAGTATGGCAACCACCAGTCATACAAACGGTATTATAAATAACCATGATTTTAACAACAATCTGCTGTCCCATTAAAATCAACTGTACTTTAAGGTCAACCCTAGTATTTTAAATCAAAATAACCCAACCAATTAATTGGGTGAAATCTTGTCATTTATCAGAGTTAACTACAATAGGTCCTTTTGAATCAATGGAACTTTTGGAGGAACTGAGTCAAAAAATCCCCACTGATTCAATGGGCCTACTCTAGTCATGAGTTGCTACACTAAGCAACAGGGCCTAAGTAACTGATTCGTTGCTACAATCCTTATCTACAAAAAACGTCTTTTGTACACAACTCATAAATTATTCAAGTTTATTGACAACAACATTCACTCACCTTTTTGCTTTCCTCCATTTCATGTTCAAACATTGCATTAAAAACGGGTGAACGAGCTGTAGCATGGAATATAAGCATTAGTACTATACCAAGATTGTATAATTTTATTCAGAAAATGAGAATACAGAAGTGGACAGTACCTGCAAGAATAGACTTATGAGCTTTGAACTCTTTTCCTCCTACATAAAAACTGCAATCAGTAAATCTTGTTGATTCCCAGAGATTTCCTAAATCTTCTGCTAGTCGGCATTCGGGTACTTTTAATGTATTTGTACAGGACTGTCCTGATATATTCACCGAGTCCTGGACCACACTCACCTGGCAGAAAACAAGGTAATGTGCAAATAATTATATTGTTTACATCCCTTACAGCACCTATAGTTTCAATTCCACTTAGGTCAATAATCCCTATACATTAGACATAATTCAGTCCTCAAGCAGTGAAAACTGTCAATGAGCCAACTAAAGAACACATCAGACTTGAAAAGAGTAAGTGGCAAGCTAAAAGTTACGTGGAAGTCTAGAATGGACACTTTTACTGGTAATTAGAGATGGAAGTATTTGTATACAAATACCCACACGCAGGTGGACATAATGAGGGTATGGGCCCCTGAGGCCGGACCATCCACTCACCTATCCGCTGCCACCGCCAGTTCCGTACTCCCTTTTCAATCGCTCCAGAGCTCACGGTGCCGACTAGCCACTCCTGGCAGAAGGAGGGAAGACGAGCCTCCCTCGCCAGGCTGACGAGTGGCTATTCGACCGCGAGCTCCAGAGTGATTGGAAGGAAGCACAGAGCCAGTGGCAGCAGTGGACGGATGAGTGGACGGTCTGGCCACAGTGGGCTGTACCCTCGTTATGTGCACCTCATCTCTACTGGCAATCCAAGGAAACAGTTCTATCAACTTATATCTTGTAGCACTAGGTGCAACTGAAAAAAGAAGGTATGCATTTTTTTTAAAGTGACTGTAGAGCAAAACAGAATGCAAATAGTCCAACTGAAAAAAGAAGGTATGCATTTTTTTAAAGTGAGCAAAAACAGAGAGCAAAACAGAATGCAAATAGTTAACCAAGTTTATAAGGACATGGTTTGGGGATGAGAAGAGTGCTACAGAAAAGGGAGTATTATTCCATCAAAGGTATTTAATAAAGCAAACAGCTTCTTTTTTCCTTTCCTTTCCTTTCCCTTTATTTTTTTTTTTTGAGGCAACCACTGGAGAGGAAGTGAAGCTCAGTGGTAGAGTGCATGTCCCCTCTTCAGAAGTCCCAGTCTAGGGTGAATCCCTGACATTTCCAACTGACAAGACTGGATAATATGTGATGGGAAAGACCTATTCCTCAGAATGTACAGAGTTACTGCCAGTCATGGGAACACTTCTCAGCTAGATTGCAAACAGACTGCCCTACTATAAGACAGTTTTCTGTAAGTGATGTCCAGCATTTTACTCTGTAAACAGAAAAATAATCTATGTGAAGAAAATACTGGATTGCATCCTGTGCTGGTGCAATAACTTTCTTGACCACCAGGTCCACCACATTCATGGATAATGAATGTTCAAAGCCAACACACAAATTTGTATTCTAGATGTGTTTGCATTAAAGAGGTCAGAATTCACCTGGTGATTAGCACTTGAATAAGGGAAGCTGTGTAAAATGAAGTGGCAAATTGCTACTCATTAACAAAGTCCTGGTTGTGTTCTGGGGAAACAGCAAAACTGTGAGAATTTTGGTCACCAGCTAAACAATTACTACAGGGGTCATCATGAAAACAAAAGGTATACTCCACACACACACATAACTACCTGACCTCAATTCCTATTACATATTCTGTTATGAATTTTGTTTGCTTTACAGAATTAACTGTTCGATTCAGTAACATTTTATAATGCAAGAATCCTTTACGACCTAGGCATGTGATGCATCCACTTACCAACTGAATAATTGTATTCATAACAAATTCATCATACAGCTAATTTAGTCTGTCTATCTAACTGAAATAAGATGCAGTATATTTGCACCATTTAGTCTCAGGGGCCACTTTTCAATTATTCTTCCTACACAGCATAATGACACATAATTAAGTTGTAATCTTGCCAAGAAATTTTTGTACACATTTCTTGTAAATACAAAGATCAAAGTAAACTTATTAGCACTTAGAGCATCTATCATCCTCCTAAGCCACTAATCAGTCCATGGCAGCAGTGATAACCTGCCAATGTATATTCAACACTCGCTCCACTGGGATCATAACCGTCTTCACTAGATTCCATTTTAAAATATCATAAGCACTCTTCCTGGATTTTACTGTTTAGGTTACCAGCTTAATTTAGAGTGATTTGCATATATTCTTCACTTTGACTAAAGATCTATTCCACCAAAGAACCTATAGTCATTGGATTTCTCAACTCATGCAAGTAACTTACATTGACTCAAACACATACGAGTAGTTAACGATTGCTGTTATCAAAGTCTGAGGGATGCCATAATAATTTACTTCTTAAAAACCATTATCATAAACAGAAAATTGTTGCAGAAACCTTGTTCATATACAGTGGGGTCTTGACTTAAGAACGACTTGAGTTAAGAACATTTTGACTTAAGAACCACTCTCATAGGAAAATATTGACTTGACTTAAGTACTTAGATTTGAGTTAAGAACTGAAAAAAAACCACGTGGGAGGCAGGGAAAGTGCAAAAAGTGAACTTTCGGTTAACTGTTGGCCAGTGAAAAGGGTGCCTGTCTGCTTCCTCACTCCTCCCAGCGTTTAGAGAGTGGATTGGGAGACAGTCTTCAGACTGCCTGGTACTGTGCTGCCTGGACTGTATTTTCTCTGCCTTCCCTGAACCTTTCTTGTCCTAAGAAAAAAAGAAACAAAATATCCCCCTCTAGTGGTCGAAGGCCGAATAGCAGCTTCCCATTAGTTTCTATGGACGGAAAAGAGCAGATACGGATCAAATGGTTTTCAATGCATTCCTATGGGAAATGCAGATTTGACTTGAGAACTTTTCGACTTGAGAACCGCCTTCCAATACGGATTAAGTTCTCAAGTCAAGACCCCACTGTATGGAATCCTACCACAACTTTCAAGAAACTGCTTATATCCCATTTACAGTGATCTTTCCAGCATTGGCACTCAATACTATTTTTGTTAACTACTACTTCCTCTCCTGAATGTCACCATACAACTATTCTGACTTTGGATGCATCATCATTCAGCAATGATGTTTTGCTTCGAAACCAATCTCCAAAAATCTTCAGCTAAGATGTTCTTCTCTTTGCTTCACTTCTTCCATTTATTTGACCTTAATGATCAGCTGCAATTATCTGTACTATTTTTCTTTATATAAGATTTTTCAGCCTTTCGCAATTTGTGTGTTTTAGTGTTTCTTGATCTTTATTCATTCACTTTAGCATTTCTGTATTGATCACCTTCTCAATCCCAGGAATTGTCAGCATGTACATGTAAATCCACAATTAAAATGCTTGTGTATTTTCTATAGTAGCCTCTGTTAAAGTCCACAATTCTAGCCATATGGTAGCATCAAACACAGAACTATACAGCAAACTTTCTCAAAGCAAATTTTAAATTTTTGCTGCACGTTATATTATTCATCTTAAGATGCCCAATACTGACTTCAGTTACGTGACTACATATGATCCCATTGTTTATTCAACCAAATGCTAAAGTATTTTGCTTCAACAGGCTCCACATTTAATTTTGGATCTGTGTTTCTTGGATTGCTTTTTAATGACTACTACAAATATGGTTTTTTAACATACATTTTCAAACCACATTCATTATTTAATTCATTAAATCTGAGTAATTTTTGCAGATCACCTAAATTGCCAGCTAGTAATACTGTATTGTTTCTGTATCAAATGTTGCTAATAACCAATCCACTGACAATGCTACTACCATCATTCAGTCTGCAAGTATGTATCTAAAGATGCTTTGAGGATATAAATTGAAAAGCAGTGATGAAAGAATACTGTACATCCTTGTGATACTCCTCCTCCTATCTTTAAGCTAATTTTTAGTTGTCACTAGTGGATTTTAAAACAGAGCATTGAAAACAAAGCTGAACTTCAACTACAGTAGGACTCATCCTTTCAAAGGCACATTCTTTGTAAGGCCAGCGTCCAAGGATATTTTACTGAAAGACAATTTCCTCTTCTGCCATTGCTGCCTGGTCCAACTAGTTTGAAAAGAGAGGAATTTGGGGATAGTGCAAAGCAATGTCAGGAGACACTTCTGCTGTGCTCACACAAGTCCCCTAGTGTGGATCATATATTTAACCCAATGGTCTCCTTTCCAACTCGGCATCTCTGCAAGCAAGCTAGTCAGGAAAGCTCTAATACCATTATGATTGCTCCAGAACAGGAACATAAAAAGGATGGACAAATAGTCACTTTAAAATGTCTGATTCTTACATCACATCCTGCCTTTCATCTGATGAGCACAAGGTGGCACAAATGGCTCTACTTCTTCCTACTTTGCCCTCCTAAGAACCTAGAGAGGCAGGGCAGGCTGAGAGAGAATATGATTGGCCACTCAGTCGATTTCACCGCTTAGTGAGGATGCGAACTCAGGCATCCAGAGCCCAACATTCTAACATCTACACCACACAAGCCTATGCGACAACTTCACACCTATGTCAAGGTACTGGATAGCTCAGTGGTTTCTGGTATGTCAGACCTGAACAAAGACAGAAGACCACAACACTGGCTTTCTATATCTAGCACTGCACTCAGTCATGTCACTTGGAACAACTGACACTCTTAAAGGAAGCAAAATTTGGAAGTAATCTTGAGGTGCCTGGGAGAAATCATATGCCCTTCCGGACCAGCAGCACTGTTTACGTAAACTCTATATTAAAAGTCAGGCTTCAATACAATTAGCATTTTGATTTCCTATCAATAATATAGGCCTAAACATACTACAATTCATAGTTGATATATTCTATGTCAGCCACACATTTAGCTCAGGATATATTAAGGCATCTCAAAACCTTGACTACTTATTGCTAACTCTACATAGGAAGACCAGGCCTAAATAGACCAACAGTCTGCATCAACCTATAATCGCTCCTTGTTTCCTTATATAATCAAGGCATGTGTGATGAGGTCCACATGCAATATAAAGCTACAATTCAAACAAGTGCATTTCTGGAAATAGAATCAGGAAATAGACAAAAAAGCACCGTTGTTACACCCCGAATAAGTGCACAAATAACATGACTAGATCATATATACACTATTCTATCTGTTGTACAGCTGGATGAAAGCCTTCTGCATATCACAATGTAATATCTGGCAACCTCAAGCAACAAATGCATCTCCAGTTAAGTACTGGAAACTCCTGACCTTTTACAGAAGTTGAAAGAAAATGCCATATTCCAACCCCTAGCCCAGTTTTATGCCTGTCAATTGTGTGGGGGTGGGGGTTCTGTCCCAGGCCCTTTCCTCAGCAGTCCTTTCACTTCACGCTAAGTAGCTCCTGATAGCTGACTTATTTATAGAAAATGGATCTTCTATCAAACTATTAAGTGCAAACCTTTGATGGGGGCATTTCTTTAACATGGAGGAGAGAAACATATTTTAAACATTCTTCATTTCTCATTCATAGCCATGGAAACCAATATTCTATTTTAAAAATACATTGGCTAATTACCTACCTCACAGAATAACGTAAGCTTATCATCAGGTAAAAGACCATTAGCTTCATCAAGTAAAAAGTCTCTTCGAATGAATTTTTTAAAACCCCAGTCTTTGCCTTGAACAAATCGATATGCTCTTTGGCTTTCTAGTAGCAAATAAACAGAATATGTTCAATTAAAACAGACTCAACGTTTTTAAATAATTACACATGAAAAATGAAATGTAACAGTCAAGTCAAACCAAATGTAAACAAATTATGTTAATAATAGATGTCTACAAATATCATTTGCTTTAAAGGTCTATTCAAGTATCATTCAGGCACTAAACATATCTGAGATATTCCTGTCAGAGAACACAGAATGGAGCAGAACCTTAATATGATAGCAACAAAACAAATGAAAATAAGGGGCAGCACTGAGGCAACCTCTATTAAGCTAGCTCAAAAGGAAGTGGGGTTGGATAATTTTTTGCATCAGATTCAGATTCAGGAGAGAAAGGACTTTCTGTGTGATGTTTGATCACAGCAAAATGGATGTTTAGTGCATGAGTAGAATAAAGAAGACAAAATATCTGAAGAGGGAACTGATTATCCATGCGTTATATATAACTTAGTCTTCTGCCCAGAGGGATGATGCATGTACATAAAGGTAAGCAAAGGGCTTATATTATAAACTGCTCTTAAATATCTGAGTTTCAAGCAAATAAAACTCTTTTATATGGGATCAATGCCTTTTGAGACAGATCCTACACTTCTTCAAAGCCAATAAGGTCTGTATTATTTATGGAGGACCTATAGAACAGGGGAGTGATACTCCCTAACCTGACAGTATATTTCAGGTAGAACTTATTCACACAAGAAAAGCTTGCAACACATCTAGAAACACCCACATAGTTGTTACAACTCACTGAAATAAAGAAGACCACTCAGAACGATGCTTTGAAATGAGTAAAAGATTTCATGTAAATTAAGACCTATTCCCTTGGCAAACTGAAGTGGGTCAAGCCAAAGAATTTAATCCTTGGATTAAAAGATATCTATTAATATTGAGGGATTTTTGAAGTTACTTACCCATTGCTTTTGTTTCTTCTCTTTTTGCGTTCAAGAGAGAAAATTTAAATTTTGCTCTCACTTCACTTTTTGGACAACTAACTAGCAGTAAATACAATGAAAGATAATCTTTGCTTTCATCATCTAAACCTTTAGGATTTACTCTCAGGCACCTGAAACAAAGAATTTAAGAAGCAAGTTGGTTTGCATCTATGATATACAAAGTTCTAATTTGCTGGAGGAATTTATAGGCAGGGCTAATTGTCTGGTAAAGTTTTACCTAATGAGTAAAATTTTGGGCATATAATCTTCAGACATTTCAAAAACTACAGAGACTGTTATTTTGCAAAAATGTTTTTGACTCTGTTATCGTTCACAAAATGTCTGTTTGCCATCATCAGAGCAAGCTCAGGACATAAAATGAGTTGCAGTCACTCATCTACTATCCAACACTTATCTATATTACTCATTTACATTAATTTAAGAAAAATAGAAGAAGCAATGCTTTCTTCCTCCTCTTCACATGCAACCTTCAGTAACAGTACACCAGAAGATAATTAATTATGGCTACTTCCAGCTCTGAATTTTCATCTTTAAAAAGTTAAGATGCAAGCATACATCTGTACCTTGATACTGGGCAAAATCCTGTTGCTTAGCATAGAAGCAACTAGAGTAGGCCCACTGAATCAATGGGAATTTTGTAAGTGAACTCCTCTGTATGTCCCACTGATTCAAATGGGCGTACTCTGTGACTTACTTTAGAATAATAAATCACAGTTAGAGTAGGCTCATTTGAATCTATGGAACTATAGAGTCAACTTATTCAATCCCTACTGATCCAACAGGGCTGTTCTTATGCAATTTACTACATTAAGCAACAGGATTTTGGCAATTATTAAATGACAATTCTCAGAATCCAATCACCGCTGATCTTCCTGGCTGGAGCGTCTGGGAACCTACATCCAAATCCATCTGGGGATCTAAATTTGGGAAACACTACCTTAAACACATACCATACATTTGTTAAATTTGCATCCAATGCCAAGGAACTCAAGGCAAAATATATCCTGATTGCATTATATCCCAACCCTACAACCTTTTAAAAAGCTTGCTATAAAAAAAAAGATCACTTCAAATTAAAACAAGATTGAATACATGATTATATAGTATAGCTAAAACAGAATGACACCAATATATTCAGAGAAGATACTTGCTGGAATATGTAAAAAGGAGTGAAGAATTCAAAAGTGAAGCAGTACATTAAAGCTGTACATTTTTATGCAACCATAAAAACTTCATGAAATAAAATCTGAGGGTAAGAAACACCATGTGACCACGGAAGATTGTCTTCGGACAAAAACGCTGGCTCTATGGCTTGAAGAGCGGGATGAGCGCCGCCCCCTAGAGTCGGCCACGACTGGACAAAAATTGTCAAGGGGAACCTTTACCTTTACCTTTTAAGAAACACCAAGCCAGGGAGGAATAACTCTGTAAGGTGGAAGAACACATTTTGTCCTGCCCTGGCATTCTCTGTACCACCAAATGGCAGTGGCAAGCCATAAAAACTAGAAAAATCAATTATAACAAACAGACAACCCTCACTTTAATGAATTTTAGCACTTTGCTGATAAAATTCTGCAGCACAATTTTGGGATGAGTGCTTGGGGGGGGGGCGTGATGAGGTCCGTATAATGTCTGTTGCCTACCTCTGGAAAAAGACAATCCCTGTGTAGCAAGTCCCTCTGAAGATTTCACAGTCAATCAGGGCACTGTCCTGAACTGGCTAGGCTTGCACAACAATCCTGTAGTCTCATTTTTGCCTAGACATGTATGTTCATACCACAGATACTTATAAATGGAAAATTTGTGCCACCAAGGACAAGTCTAGGTTAAAAACAGTGGCTGAGAAGACATAGCCTAAGTTCTCAAGGTGAGTCAGGCCCCCAAGAAGAAAGGACAGGAATATAGCTCTAAACAACCTCTATCAAAGTTGTATAGAACAGGGGTCCCTAACCCCTGGTCCGCACCCGGCAGCGGTCCGGGGCCTAGGCAGGACCAGGCTGCAAACACAATCTTTTGTCCCCCCACGAGTGCCCCCCGTGAGCGCTGCCGTGCATATGTGCACAAGTGCCACAGCATGCATGTGTGCATGCACACAAGTGGCCCCTTGCGAGCGCAGTGTGCGCATGCATGCACGGGGCAACTCCGCGAACACCGCTGCACACATGTCCGTGAGCGCGCTCCACCCCCCTGCGGGTGCACCACACCCCCGTGAACGTGCCATGCCCCCCCCAACCGGTCCGCAGTTGGGAAAAGGTTTGGGACCATTGATATAGAAGACAATGAATACCCCAGCCAAGGAGTAATCTCACAGGACAGCCCTCCTGTGGAGAGGCCAGACATCAACGTCTTTTGTTTTTATACTAAAAGGATTGTCTGGAGGTCTGGGAAAGCAAGAATCCTAGAATGGTTACTAGCACCTTAGTCAACTATAAAAAAAAGTAGTCAAAAAATTATATGGCCATTGTCCCTGGATTAGCTAGGTGAAAAGATAACAATTAAGCAGAACAGGACACTTGACAAACAAGGGGCCAGATGTCTTTTGTCAGCCTAGCCAAAAATAGATTAAAAAAATGTTGTAGCCTATTGATTGTTCTAGAAGAATGCTCTGTTTTGTATCTATCTCCACCTGAACCGTCCTGTTGACCCCTGCCAGGTCTCTTCGTGTTGATTTCATTTACTGAGCTGAAATCACAGTCTAATCCCCCAGAATCTAGGATTGAGCCAGAGAATCCTGCTAGCCTAGGTTGCTTAACTGAATGCCTGGTTTCCAGAATGCTGTAATTCCCTCACATTGTTCCACAACTGGAGTCCCAACACTCTCCAGATCCAAGACAGTCTAACAAGACTAAGGAAGGATAATCTTTGTAACCTTCAATCTATCTTTCGAGAGTATTTTCTTCATACACTGGTGGCTCCTCTATCTACCCCAGCCATTTCTTTCTCTGTGTGTACATCTGTGTGGCTTAAGAAAAGATTTTTCCTCTCTTCTCACCCATGTAACATCTTTCTGCAAATAGTCTGCTCAGGCACTTTCCATTTTGCAGTGCAGCCTGAATCTCAGAGCCTCCAAGCCATGCAAGTTTCCTTCTTTTGAGTCTATATTTCTCCATATTAATTATATACTCTATTGTTTCATCTTTGCTATTTTCCAATATATTCTAACAGAGTATAGTTTAATTCTGGTGGTTCAATAAAATTCTCTTTATGAATAGATTGGTGTGAGTGTGATATACTCAGTCTAATCTGTGTGAAGACATGCTCTTGCCAAAGACCCTTTACAGGTGTGTCTCCAAACATGTGTGAGTTCATGCAGGTGTTCTGATATGTAGCACTACCTAGGTTCCTCTGGCCCATGTCCAGCAATCCTCTACATCAGGGTTTCCCAAACCCTGGTCCACACTCACACCCCACTCACCCATGAGTGTGCCATGCCCATCCGCACCATGCTCACCTGCGCATGAACATGCCACACCCCGTGAACATGCCTCACACACCCCCGTGAGTGTGGGGGATGCCCCCGCCCCCCAGAGCCCCCCCAATCAGTCTGCAGTTCTGAGAAGGTTGGGGACCACTGCCATACATTACACAATATTGCCCCATTATATCATAAAACTGTATTTAAGCTCGTCGTGCAGAGCTCTGCCAACAACTCTGCCAGTCTTCTCCCCAAGCTTCAACAGTAGAAATTATTCCAGCACTGGAAAAGAGACACCGTGCCATGTTACTCAATCCATGGCATATTCATAGGATTTGAAGAACATACGCTTAAAATGAAAAAAAAAATCAAAATTAACAATACCATCTTACCATTTCATTTTGTCATTTGGCCCTGATGAAAAAGTAGAACTCTTTAAAACTTCACCCATTTCTTCTCGGCAGAAACTGAAGTTATTTATGGTCCACATGTAAGAAAATTTTACAACTTTAACCTGAATAAGAGATTCAGACAATCAGACAAGTTTTCAGGTTCAATTTTCTTTCTTTCTTTCTTTTCAAAAGCAGTTACTACAGAAGCAAGTGCAACAACACCACTTAACTGCTTAAAGAAAACATGACCTTGTAGAATTAAGGAGCTCTTAAACTGTATGGAAACCAGTATTTAAAAATGAGGATCCACGACCTCAGATCTCCCATTCACCCCTTTTTTTTAGTTTTGGCTTCTATTTCCTCCTTTCTTTGGGTAGCGTTCCAGCTTTGGAATTACTACTCTTACAGCATCAAAGTGCATTTCGAAGACTGTCATTAGACAAGACTAAACTGAAACTGTTAATTATGATAGCAACATTAAACAGAACCCAAACAATTGTGCAAGGTATGTAGCTTACCTGTGTATAACACCAGCTTTCAGCTATAGGCCCACTGGACATTTCTCCAGGTGGTGGCGGAGTGGCAACTCTTGACATCCCCAATTTATTGCAGATTATTACAGCATAAAGGCAGCAATTCAACCATCAGTTCTGTTCATATACATATCAAGGTAAAAAAATAAACAAAAAAGTAGGATTATATCTCAAATTATTTACTAATGAAGGTATCAAGTTGAATGAAATAATTATTCTTAGCTAGAAAAGCCCATATATATATTGACTGAACACTGAGAAATCACCATGTGCCATAAATCTGCATTAAAATTTCAAAAACAAATATGACTATAGTGCAGATTAAATTTAGAAAGGCAATTCTCAAAATCAACTCCAGGCTTATTGACAGTGTCCACTCCAAAAGTTAAACCTCTTACTTTAATACCTATCAATGCATTTTCATCATGACACATTATCCAGATTATTAAACTTCTCGTAACCANGGGGAGGGGAGTCCATGTTAAGTACTGTACAACAAAGAACTAAGGCATAATTACATAGCAAAGACAGCACAGAAGTATTTAACTGAATGACAAAAATGGTTTTCAAGAAAAATTCATGCAAACACATAGGGGCAAAGATTTCTCCATAAGATACAAGAAACCAAAAGGAAATTTAAACCAAGATTAGAGATGTTCAACAATCAGGGGGGAGTCCATGTTAAGTACTGTACAACAAAGAACTAAGGCATAATTACATAGCAAAGACAGCACAGAAGTATTTAACTGAATGACAAAAATGGTTTTCAAGAAAAATTCATGCAAACACATAGGGGCAAAGATTTCTCCATAAGATACAAGAAACCAAAAGGAAATTTAAACCAAGATTAGAGATGTTCAACAATCAGGTAGAAATCTCATCTGATGAAGACAAAATATAGAGAATGTATTTATTTCTTCAACTTTTAGATCACTCAATTAAATCCAGATTAAGGAAAAGTGAAAATAAGTACAGTGGGGTCTTGACTTGAGAACTTAATCCGTATTGGAAGGCGGTTCTCAAGTCAAAAAGTTCTCAAGTCAAATCTGCATTTCCCATAGGAATGCATTGAAAACCATTTGATCCGTATCTGCTCTTTTCCGTCCATAGAAACTAATGGGAAGCTGCTATTCCGCCTTCGACCACTAGAGGGGGATATTTTGTTTCTTTTTTTCTTAGGTCAAGAAAGGTTCAGGGAAGGCAGGGAAAATACAGTCCAGGCAGTACCAGGCAGTCTGAAGACTGTCTCCCAATCCACTCTCTAAACGCTGGGAGGAGTGAGGAAACAGACAGGCACCCTTTTCACTGGCCAACAGTGAACTGAAAGTTCACTTTTTGCACTTTCCCTGCCTCCCACGTGGGTTTTTTTCAGTTCTTAACTCAAATCTAAGTACTTAAGTCAAGTCAATATTTTCCTATGAGAGTGGTTCTTAAGTCAAAATGTTCTTAACTCAAGCCGTTCTTAAGTCAAGACCCCACTGTAGAGGGAATAATTTAAGATATGCACATAACACCAAATTACTGGCAGAAAACATTGTGGCTTTAAATGACTACTACCAAAAAGTAAAGAAGAAAGTGCAAAAGTAGGACTACAGTTGAACATTTAAAAAATTACACAATCATGACTTGTGTAATCAATAATTACATAACTTTAAGTTTATAGCCAAGAAATCAGGAGCAGAATACAACTTGAAAGGCCAGCTATGAAATAACTTAAAAAGATTCTTAAGAATAGGAGCTAAAGGGGTAAATACATAGACAAAATAGTTAAAAGAAGAAGAAAGATGAGCTTTTACTGAAACATGAATAGATTAGATGTTTACATACTTGATATGAAAAGATTGAATGATTATATATTTGATGTTTTCTTATACTCAAACCCTCTTTCCACCCCTTCCACTGCCCTTTGCTTTCTGTATTCCTTCCCTATCACCCAATAGCTTTGAAAATAAAATAAAATAATATATATATAAAAAAAGAATAGGAGACCAAGACCATCCACACTATAGCATCCCTGACTGCTATGTACAGATAGAAAAACCAAACAGTGTAGAAAGTTGTCAGGAAAAAACTCAATTAATTTAAAATATGAGGTTGGAAGAAGGGTGATTATTAATAATAAACATGAAATGAAATGACTCAATAAAAGCTGCCACAGCCTTTAGTTTGCAGGACCTGAATATAGTTGTTAATGATAAGACCTTCTGGAGGTCACAAATTCATATGGCTGTCATAAGTCAAAAGTGACTTGACATCATATTAAAAAGGGTAAGATATAAATAGAAACAAATAATCAGTGCCACTATATATACTCTTTAGAGATGGGCAACCCCGAAAGTTTCATGAACTATATTTTCCAATCTGCCATCATCCTGAAGGCTGCACTCCCTAGGGGTGGTGGCCAAAATGGGAGAATGGTGAAAATTTTTTTAGTATTTTTAAAGAGCTAAAAATAATTTCCAAATGTCACAATGATTAATTTACTGTAATTTTATTAATGTCTACAGTAATGCATTATTCATAAGGTTTTAATAAGTTTTCAAAAGTTAACTTAAGGATTTAATAAGTAAAATAACAGAATCACTTCTCATTTGCTTATGGAGCTCTGCTGTAGTGTATAACCCTTTTTCCCAGCTTTTTTCCCCTTGTCTCTGACAGTTAAAAGTTATCTAATTACTAAAGAGAACATACCTTATTTGTATTTGTATAAAGTATATAGTCTATGTCATAACAATCTTAATTAAACAAGGAAGTTTTTAATCTTCATGTTTACTTGCTAGAATCAGACTCCGGTGTTGACTGTATCGACTGTAGTTTCCAGAGTCCCACTCCAAAAAGTAAATATGGAGATTGAAGAGTTCCTTGTTTAATTAAGATTATTGTGGCAAGAACTAAAACTACTTTAATACTATCCCAAAAGTAAAAAGGTCATGAAACAGACTGTAAAGTTGTATAAACAGAGAAGCCACAGTTCCTCTTTTTTTATTATTTTTCTTTGAAGAGGCACATTCCTTAGGGGGCTGCAAAAGGGCTTGGGGACCCACGCGGAGCTTATGACCTGCACTTTATATAAAAAACTTATATGACAAATCTATCCTACACATTTGAACCCAGAGCTCCCATAAGCAGAACCTCACAGGATGCTCTTGCTAAATAGGAGCTAAACTGTTCCTACCAATTCGTCCTATTCCATGCATAGGCTTCAAGAGGTATTAAGGGGGGGGGGGAGACCCGTGAAACACTGTGGAAGGTGGCACAGAGGACAGCAGGCCCCGCCTCCACTTTTTCCACCACCAAGTGTCAAATTTCGGTCCTTCCCATTAATAAAAGGTGCTCTTCCAGAAGGAATAATCTGGAACCATTTACCAGAATCCTGTCAGTTATTTACAGTTAAGTACAACAGTATAAATCACAGAGGCCAACTTGACCAGGCACGTGACTAGGAGCACAATGGCAACTTGTTAACAAGCAGCAAAAGTTGCCTACCTGCTAGTATGCAAGGTAAATACCCAGTAGGATTCTAGATACTTAAATATATGCAGAACTTAAAATATATGCTTAGATGTCTTCCACTGAAATGCAGAGTGTACATATGTTTAACTCTGGCTGTATTTCACTCAGCTTATTCTACGACAGATGTAACGGTCCACAAGTATGAGAAAGAAAAGCTTCCAATCGCATCTCGGGAAATATTGACTAAACACATAGAATTGTTGATATTTCATAGGTAGTCTGAAGGCAATGCATTTCAAGTTCCATCAGCAACAGACCCCAAAAAGTACTTACAATTGTGCAGTCAATGGACTTCCAAAAGTACAGCCTCTGAATGGATTACTAGTTCCTCAGAAAATTAGCAGATTCTGTTTGCAGCAAACAATTCAAAGCCTCAAGGAGCTGAATCAGCCTCAAGTGGTCTCTTATCTTAATTCTTAAAATTTATCCTAGTATTATTAATGTTTAGGAGTCCCAATATGCTGTGCGTTGTTCAAAACTAATGTTTCCTCCCTCCCTCAAGATCAAAGACGTTATGTTGGAGGCTCAGAAAAACACAAGGTAACAGTTGGATTAAAAGACATAAACTGTCAATGTCAACTGTCACTTCCCCTCCCCCTCCCATTGTCAAGTTTTCTTTCATGGTTCACAGGATAGCACAGGGAGGCTTTAAAGATGGATCTGATCTGAGGAGGTATGAAACAGCTGCTTTTCAGATGTTTGCATGCAATGAACTATTTTGAGGCATTTACTGCCATGGGAACAGGAAAAAGCTAGTGAAGTTGGATCAAATGGCCAACTCCAGAAAAACCACAGGTAAGCATCTCAGCATTCAAGTAACGTAGAGAAGACTGAAAGAAAAATAAATTCACTGCCATACAAATCTCCATAGTGGCATTAGGACTACAGCCAGCACATAACACAAGTTAGTATTTCCTCCATTTTGCTAAATAAGAAATATAGTGTTGCCAACAGCAAAGCACTTAAATAACACAGTGAAAAATAACTTCCCCTGAAAAGGGTTACCTAAAAATGAAACAGCTTTCTACATTTAGAATTTCTGGCTGAAATCCTATGTCTGCAGCTATGATGCATAAGACTGATAATACGACTTCCAGCTTGACGCTGCAACGACACAGCAGTAGGAGGATGGAGCTCCGTCCCCTAGGATGAATTCCGAACTGTCCGGGACCCCCTAGGGCAGGGGTCAGGGAACTTTACCTTTTCCCCCCCCCCCCAAAAAATTTATATACACCGACATTACCCCCTTGATTCGAAAGGAAGGAAATCTTACATTATTTTAATTAAAAATATTATTGAATCTACACAGGCTGTGTACCGAACTAGCAGGATGCACCAAATTTGATAAAGATGTGCACTATTTTTGCTGGAACACATTGCACTCCAGCCATGGTGTGGTATAGGGAGTAGTAAGGTGTCCAACGTTTCTAGTAAGTTGAATTAAATTTTTGCTAGCTCGCAGAGGATTTAATCATCATCAGTGGCTGCTAGAGTGGTGCTAGCAATGACATGCTCGCTAGAGACAGCCAACGTAGAATGGGGGGGGCTCTCCCTACCACTTTAATCATTCTATGTGTGGTGTGCAAAAAGGAATAAACCAGGCTAAAGGTCATGTCACCCATCCTAGTGCCACAGCCGAATATCAAACTTGCTAGCTCGCAGAGGATTTAATCATCATCAGTGGCTGCTAGAGTGGTGCTAGCAATGACATGCTCGCTAGAGACAGCCAACGTAGAATGGGGGGGGCTCTCCCTACCACTTTAATCATTCTATGTGTGGTGTGCAAAAAGGAATAAACCAGGCTAAAGGTCATGTCACCCATCCTAGTGCCACAGCCGAATATCAAACGACCAGTGTGCTTTTTTTATCATCATCAATGGAAAACTCAGCAGTGGCCCGAGGATTGGAAAAGATCAGTCTACATCCCAATC